ATCTTCACAGGTTAGTACCTGGCACATGAGAGAGAGAGAGAGAGTTCTTCTTCTTCCTCTTCTCAGTCCACCATCTCCCTCTCACCCTCTCGCTACCTGGCTTCACTGCATCAGCAGACTACGAGGGAGAGAGATTGGTGACATTTGGTCCAGACTCGACATTCGGCTTCAGACATTTGATGAGGGATTATCTGGGACTTGTACTGAAGACTTGGTGTTAACGACATTCCCATCTTCCCCCTCTTCTCGTCTGATCTCCTCCTCTTCGTCTGTTGCGCCAGGCCCCTTCACACCTTGTGATGAGGATGATGTATGTTTGGTCCGCATTGCGACATTGATGGGGCTAGTCATTTGTATTCTAGCATTTCGCTACGCTGTCTTGTACTACGTCAGGGAGGTCAGTCCCGGTCAGGTCAGGACTTATATCTAAGTCTTCCACTGCGCTACAAGGCACCATTTTTGTATGTATCAGGATGTACACTGCTTGTTGAGATTTTCATCACATTGCGGATCCTTGGCTATTTATGTACATCGCCCAACTGGGCATGTAACACAATAGCAGACACATTTGCTCTAATTTTTGTTCCATTTTTATATAGGTCATAGAGATGAGTTGCAAGCGCCCGGTTGAGCGCCCGGTTGATCTGTGTTCTGTAACTATAGAAACTCTGGTTTCTATACAACAGAGAGGAGGCAGGTTTCGCAGCAGTAACAAGTGCAGTTCTGAAGTTCAAGGCTTGAAGGCTGAGGAGGGTAGGTTCTACATTTCCTTTTGCACTAACCGGGTCATTTGATAAGGGGATGCCCGAAAAAAACAGGTATAGACGGATTGGGGAGGAAGAAGTGAGGAACAGGCCCTTGTCGTAGAAGGAAAGTATATAGTCCGCTATGTTCGCCGATTCTTTTTGGTCATAGTTGAGTGAGAAGGATGTGAAGACCCATAGATGAGCAACCTGCTACCATGCCAGTCCTACCAGACAAGTATCAAGTACTTTAGTACACTAGTTTAGTCTCATAGTCTATTGGGAAAGATGTGAAGACTGGTTATTGACTCCCTGCTGAGTCAATCCTCCCCAACAAGTATTCAACGACGCTTACATCCATGCCTCTTTTGTGTGAGGCAGACTCACATGGCGCGCCAAGCTTTACCAAAATGCCAGCGCGGCATTTTTGTTGCATGGTGTTTTTGTTGCGTTTCTGCTTTGGCTGGCACCACCAGTCATTTTGGTCCAGCTGCCCCAAGCCTCACTGATAAGGAGTAATCAATAGCGAAATGACAGAAATCCAGATTGCAAATCATATTGAAAGCCAGATAGTCGAATGCCGTCCAGAAAGCAGAGTTTCACTGATGTTACACCGAAGGAAAACCAAAGCAACGAGCTCAATTGTCAATGAAAGCATATACTCACCACCACCAGCAATGCAATCGTAGCTCTTCCTCCTACTGGCGCTCAGCGCCCAGACTACTACACTACAGCTACACTACTAGCCATGAAATGACAAGCAACTTGTTGACGTCAGCAGCCGCAACCGAAGGACATGCAGATGTCGACCATGTAGACCATCACCAAGACCAGGTACGTGCCATCAAATCATCATCCTCATCTCTCTCTCTCTCTCTCTCTCTCTCTCTCTCTCTCTCTCTCTCTCTCTCTCTATATATATAT